GTATATGGCAAATTTTCACCCAAAGTTCTTTTTTTATTGATGTATAATTGACATACGTGATATTAGTTGAAGTAGTGCTTTAAATGAGAGGACAATTACGAAGTGTCCTTACTGTTATTAGCCCCAAGACGTGAGACCCACAAATCTGGCCACTTCCATCTGTTACAATGGAGCTGCATGGAAGGCTGGTTGGGCAGTCATGTTTACTGCTTACCACTGTGTCATCAAACGAAATTAGAGGAGCCACCTGCGGGCAGGTTGAGTGCAATTCCCACATGGGATTCAACCAGGAGGCTCCTGGGTCTCCTACTCTCAATCTACTCCCCAATTCAAGAAAGGATAAGGGGCAAGATGGAAAACTTTTGGACTATAACTTAAGATAACGTAACTTGGAAGCTGGCATCTCCTTAAGACCCTTTTTAAACAGCTAAGCAACCATTGCCCACCCTACCTCAGGTGTGGGCCATTCCCGATGGTGGTCTCATGGTGGTACCCAAAACTCTGATTCTCAGACCACTGCCTGCCTGGCAGCAACAGAATCACCCAGGGAGCTTGTAATACGGTCTGCCGCCTCCCCCTCTGGTAACTCTGACTCTGTGGGTCTAACATGGGATCCAGAGGATGTGTATTTTTCCAAAAGCAACCCAGATGATACTGATGCACAGCCTGATTTGGAAACCACTGGTCTAGATAAACATCGGTTCGATTTAATAGATTAAAACCACATGCTAAGATCATATGATGCACCCGACGTATATCAAACCAACTGACACACGGAGGAGTCAATGTTATTTATACTAATGCTGAGTAATAATACTGCCCTTTGAACTAGGAAGAAGAGAACAGACACCCACAACCTTTATCAGTGATTGTGTGTACTTAACAGAAGCTTAAGCAAAAAAGGTGGTTTACTATAAGAAAATAGGGGTGTCCTGGAGAACGCAAGGTCCAGAAGTGATAATCTGGAATAAAAAACTAGAGGGCCATCAGGAATCGAGGTGTCTTTATACCACATTTTTAAAAAATCTCTGCTTTTGTCATTGCCACCCTTCTTTCTCTGCAGTTTGGCTATCTCTGCTTCTCTGGACACATGGACCAAACATAGAAGCCTTGGTCACTGGTTGTCCACACTGCTCTGTGCTTGTTTCACAGACGGGCTGGAGCAGGCAGGGCTTGCCAACTGGTGTTCTATAGCAGATATGGCCTGCAAATGAGTTTGCTTTGGACGTACTTTTTTTTTTTAATGAAAAGTAATTTCAATGTTGTTAAATTGTGAGATGTCATATAAAAACCTGAAATTTTATCTTCTTCTGTAAACATCAGAAAACTTCGCACACTGGCCTTCCATGCAGCAACAACCGGCTGGAGTTGAGTAACACCATCCCTCTGCATAGAGTGTGTGCCTGGCACCGCGCCCCTGTTCTCCCCGCTCTGTACTGTACCTGTCTTAGTCAGCTGCTATAACAAGAACTCCAGAGACTAGGTGGCTTAAACAAAAAACATTATCTCTCACAATTCCGGAAGCTGGGAAGTCTGAGATCAGGGTGCCCGCGTGGTTGAGCTCTGGTGACAGCCCTCTTCCTGGTTTCCTCACATGGTGGGGAGAGAGAGAGGAAGCAAGCTTTCTCGTGTCTCTTCTTATAAGGACACCAATCCCATTCATGAGGACTCCCCACCCTTAGGACCTAATTACCTCCCAAAGTTCCCAGCTCCAAATACATCACGTTGGGGATTAGGGTTTCAACATATCAGTTTGGGGGGGACACAAACTTTCAGTTCATGGCAGGATCCCTGACCCCAAGATCATCGGTCAGATGCAGCCTACCCTAGACGTTGTGCTGTTGGTTTCCTTGCACCTGGCTAGCATCGCTCATTGTGTTACCTGTTTGGCCCTTACAGGCATTTGAATTAGCAACTCCACTGAATTTTCTACGTGCATGTGCTAAACTCCCAGAAGAAGAATTAGATTGGCCCAGTTTTGATCATGTATCCACCCCTGGTCCAAGCACCTTGGCTATGGCGGGAGTCACGTGGCTCAGGGCCCATTCAGCAGGACCTGCGGGAGCAGAAATTCTGAGAAGGGGCTTGAAGGCAAGTTCTCCAGGAAGACAGCACAGGGCGGGAGGAAATGGTTGAGGGCTCTTGTACAGAGGATTCACGCTCTTACCCTTCCACATTTAATCTGGTTTCCCTTATGCCCAGGGCACAGACATTTGCAGAAGAGTTGACAGAGTTTATGGGTGCAATCTCAGTGGGTGCACAGTGCAGAGGTCTGGGTGGGTTTTTGTTTTGTTTTGTTTTAATAAATGCTACAATGTAAGCTGTGCAAGGGCAGGAATTTTGTCTGCTTGGTTTTCTGATTTATTCTAGGCACCTAGAATAGAGGCTGACTCACAAATGTGATCTATATACACATGTGAACAAGCGAATCGATGAGCTGAGCCCGTCATATGCTGGAAAGTGCCCTTGAAATTACTCGGAAAGTTTTTAAAAGTACAGACTTCCTGGTCACATCTTAGACCTACTGAAATAAACTTTCCAGAGATAGGGCCAAGGAGTCAACATTTTTCAAAACCCATCCCAGGGGATTCTGATGAGGGGGGTTATTTGAAAAAAAAAAAAAGTTAAAAAAAAACCCTGCAAGATCTTTTCCAAGGTTTCAAACTCTTTTCCAAAATTCTGTGAAAAGCAGAAGAAAGGAGATAGGTAGAAGAAACAGGGATAAACAGAAAAATTAAGAACAAAGGAAACAGAGAAAACAAATTTTGAAGCTTTTCAAGCCAGCATTTTTATCTAACATTGTTTATTTAGTACAAGCTAAATTAGCACATTGGATTTTAAACAACCCTGGAAAAAATTTCTACTATTTTCATTGTGAAAAACCAAGCAGTCACTTTATAATTTGTAAAAATTTCACTTTCAGGTGAAAGTTTTGTTATAATAACTGTCTAAGAATGTCTAATTGGTCAACAAGATTATGCGTTGAGTCTTGTCTTGAACAAAACTTGTATTCAGGTATTAAACTTTAAATAAGTGTGAACAGTTATTAAGGCTGAAAATTAATCTGCCCTCAGTTGGCCCACTGTGGTTTGTACAGAGGCACAGACAATGCATGCTATGGCCTCAGTGTCGGCGTCCTTGTGGCAGAGTGTGTTTTCAAATGATGCTGCTGAATCCACAATGAAGCACACACTGATCACGTGAACCCCAGAGAATGTCTGCAAGAAGGTCACTAGCGTTTTTAGGCAGTGATAAAAATGGAGTTCTACATTCTCAGCACAGCCTGTGAGACGGCGAGGTTTCACTTCCATCACAACACACATGCAAGGGCACTGGGCACAGGAGTGGGGAGGGTTTGCCTTGCTTGGGGTAAACTTCCCCACATCCCAGAAGGCTGGGGAGCGCAGGCTTGGACAGGAAGTTCGCAAGATGCTGAGAACTAGAGTCTGGGTCACAAGGCCTCAAAGTCAGATGCAAAGGTTTCAAGCAGGCATCTGAAGAGGTGGCGGTGGATGCAGGACTTTCCAAGGGATCAAAAACAGTGACCCAGGACCGCGGGCATTTGACCTCTCTCCCTCTTTTCTCATATTGTATGTAAGTACGAGCTGGCTGGAACCCTATACAGCATTTGTGTTAAAAAAGCATCTGCATGTATATGTGTACATATTTGCTTCCTTATGCATAGAGAATCTCCGGAAAGACACGTAAGAAACAGGTAATAATAGTTGCTTCTGGGAAAGGGAACTGGTAGCTGGGAGGTTTACTTTCCATTATATCCTATTGTGATTTTGCATGTTATATCATATGATTATTTATCTATTCAACAAATTTTGTGATAATTTAACATTGCACCCATGGGAAGAATGTACTGGAAGTTGACTGGAACCCAGAGTTGGCGCCAAGCACTGAGAGCCCGACATTCTAAAGAAAGCAGCCAACACTGGGGGACAGACACCTTCCTCAGGCTCACCAGTCTGGCCCTGCTACCCCCTAACCTAATGCCAGCATGTGTCTCCCCCAGGTTGATAGGAGGGAGAGAGAGTGAGGGTCATCGGGAGCGCAGGCCAGAGGTGATCCGTCCCTTTGGTGGTTGGAACCTGGCTGGCCGGCCAGCCTTCTGGGGCTGGCTCTACAGCCCAGGTGGTCTCAGTCCCCACCTCGACTCTGCTCCTCTCCTCTGCTGCCAGCCTCAATGTGTGCAGCACACAGTCTGTGACCACCTCTCCTCTGGAAGGCAGACACTGTGTCCTGTTCGTCATTTAACCCCAGCCCCCAGCACAGTTCGTGGCCCATAGTGGGGCTAGGTATACTGTCTGTTGAATGAATGGACAAGTGAATAAATGAATGAATAAACGACATTAAGCTCTTTACTGTCCAAAGTTCCTAGAGAAGAGAGAGATGTTTCACTTGAAGCTGACAAATTTCCTGACACTATCCAGTGTTTGTAGATGGGGCCTCACAGCCTGTACAACTCCTTTGCACAAATTAGGAAAACACTCTTCTGGGCAAATGCAGCCCCATCGGCCACAGCTTGATGGCAGAGGAGCTCTGGGAGGAGGTAAATGTGCCTTCCTCTGGCAAGACAGCTGGATTGCTGAGCTCAGGTTAGATTTTAAGCCCTACCCATCCGTGGGCTGGGCACCTCTGTGCAGGGCCCAAACCACACAATCTTGTGTGGCTACAGAATTGCTTCCCTTTCCTCCTCTTCTCTGTTTTGCCACCTCGTTCCTCCATTCTCCTTCTCCACCCCGGCTGTGTACTTCCCCACATCTCTTCCCCATCTCCTCCACCCAGGGGGTCCCTCCCTGGTTCTCTCTACTTCATCTCTGTTACTTGATTCACTTCTCAGTCTCTCTTCAAGAGTGACTTTCTCTTCCATGTTTCCTGGCTGTTACCTTCTCTTTTTTCAACACATACTATATGCTAGACACATTTTCTCATTCTGCCCTTGTGGCACCATATTGAGGAAGTTTGCTTACCCCATTTAACAGAAAACGAACTGAAGCTCAGGCAGTTTATATAATTTGACTGAGGTCACACGAGTCTTAAGGAACAAAGTCAGCAATTTAACCCAAATCTAGGTGACTTCAAAATTTAAGTTCTGACTTCTGCTTCTGGCGAAGATTGAGTAACAGAGACTGGATTTCATCCTCCTGTCTGAAACAGCGACAAAAAAGAGAAAAAAATATGTCAAACAACAGTTTCAAGACACTGAATATCAGGTAATGAAGGACCATGATCCTGGGAAACGGGAAAGAAATTAATGAGCCCTGCAATTACCATCACTTCCTGCCTTGAGATGGTTTCCAGACTGTGACACAGGGAGGGGAAACTGAGGCAGAGCCCAGTGATTTCCTGGAGTTGAGGAGACAGACTGAGTCCGGGGAGATCAAAGCAGCCAGAGTGCAGAGGATAAAATACCAGAGAGGAGAAAGCTGCACAGAAAGAGAATCCTGGAGATCTGCAGAGGGAGGATGCTGATCAGGACCCTGGACACGGGGAAGGAACCTTCTGCAAGGCTTAGAGGGAACAGAGTCTGGTCCTAACACAGGACCAGGAGTTGTGCCTGAATTGTGATTTGTCAGCCAGACTGGGTGGAGCCCTCAGGAAAGTCTTGTCTCAGGAGCGGGGAATATCAGCACTAGCTTGAGCACTGCTCTGGACTCGACTGACAAATCATAAAAGCAAGACCCCCCCAAAATCAAACTGTTTCCAAGTAACTGCATCCCAGAACAAAGCTCAAGAAGATTTATAGTAATACACGAATATCTAGCACCCAACAGTATATAATTCACAACGTGTGGTGTCCAACGAAAGATTACTAGGCAGGCCAAGAGGCAGGAAAACACGACCCAGATTGAGGAGAATAATCAATCAACTGAAGTTGACTGGCCCGCTCCAGAGCCAACACAGATGTTCAAATTAGCAGAGAAGGACATGAAAACATGTAGTAAATACTCAGTAGATTTAGCTACTATTATTATTCAATTTCATCCTCCAAAAACGTTGCCTCAAAGAGGGCATTCTCATTCACACTAAGAGAAAGCAAAGCTGAGGCTCAGAGTGGTGGAGAGGCAAAACCAAGTTCCCAGAGGGAGCTACCCACAGATCAGGGGCTATGATGAGTTCCTTCACTTATATATTGCCTGGGAGCAGACCCACAAGATACAGCCCTGCACCCCACCCCACCTCAGCCTCCCTTCTGGTAGTCAAAGTCTCTCCTCTTAGCCTGGGCTGAACACAGAAGGATAAGCAGTGCACCAGCTGCTCCAGTCCCCAGAAGTCATTGGAGCTACCAGGGAACCTCTGGCTTCTTCAGGTCAGGCTGTGCTGTGCTAAGGCAGCTTCTGGAACCAGCGGCCTGCATCCATCCAGCCCCAGCTGGACACTGATTTTCCCTGGGGTAGGATGAATGCGAAATTTGATTGAAGCTCTTATCCCAAAATGAGGTAGGCTGGGAGGGCCTACTAGTTTTAGTACCTCTTGATTTAACATAAATTTGCAGTAAAATCCAGGGGCTGGGGCAATTTGGCAACTCAGCATTGTTTCTGCATCACTTACCTATGAGCTTTGGTTAAAGGATCTTCACATGTGCTGGCAGTGCAAGCATCCAGGGAGTTAGGCAGCAGGAGCCATCCAGAGCTAGATGCTATCATCAGCCTGGAGGGGAAAAATACAACTACCAAACAAGCAAATGAACAAAAGAGAGAGAGTATTTAGCTTAAAATACTGATTTGTACAATTTGTAGAAAGCAGTGAGAATCAATTAATATAACCAATTACAATCAAACCCATCACTGAAGGCATTGTGCATATGGAAATACATTAAATGATTAGTTTTAATTTATTTTGACTATGTGTTTCTTTAGGAGCATCAGGTATACTGGTAAAAATTCACACCACTAGCCCCTGTTGGGCCACTGGAAAACCATCCAGTATGGGTTACACCTTGGCCTTGAACATGTTACTCCTGTTACTATATCCTGTTACCATGATTATCTCAAAAAGAACACCCCTCTTGCAGCTTGTGGCCCACTAAAACCATCAGGCCTTTCTCTTATGTTATGTCTGCTTTTTATAAGGAGTTTGCTTCCTTATTCAGTAGACATTTTCCTCTCCATTTTTAGAAGATAATATTGCCTTCTATTCAAATCTTCACAAACAACGCTACTCAACTTATCCTCTGGAAAAGTGATGAGCGCACTAAAAGCCCATCATCTAAATCGTTGATGAAGATCTTCGATGCCTGAGTCAAGCTCTGTGGGCAGTCCTTAACGTTACCTGCTTTTGTTGATGGCTTCAAACCAACTGGATACCCTCTAACACAGTCTCCCCAATAATTCCAAACTAATGTGTCATTAGATTTTGGGGGGGAGGGGAGGATGCACGAGCATGGAGTTATTCTTAGATTTCTATATAGCTCCCATTGTTTGCAGATTTTTATAAATAATATTTTATATATATGCATATTTCTATTTTTTTAATGTACCTGAAGGCTATTATGAGTAATAAATCACAAGTCCATTTAAGATTATTGCTAATTTCATATGAGATTTTGATCATTGTGCATTTTCTCAATAAATAGATATCCTAGAGTACATTAGCTACATTTGCTAGAAATCCTGAGCAAGAGTGTATATGCCCAAAGTTTTTCATTATGATTTTGTTTATAATATCCCCAAACTTGGAAATAATCTGGCTATAGGTTGTTAAGTAAATTATAGTACATAATACAATGGTATATCCTTCAACTATTAAAAATGGTTATATTTATATTTATTTACATGAAAAAATGTCTAAAACATTTCCAAGTGATGAAATATTGTTTTTTGTTTTACTTCTTTAATGTTTGTAGATTTTTTTAGAAATATGAGATATAGTTTTTCAAAAGTAAAGGAACTATTTTGGAGGGTTCCTACATATTAAAATGTTCAGTATAACTTGGATAAACCACATCTTCCTAGTTTGGCTATAAGAAAAACTTAATAAAATCCCAATTTTCATTGTATATCTGTTTCTTGCCCTTTATATGACCCATCACTCAGTCATGGAAATACATTATTTTGGCATAATTTGCTGATTATGACCTACTTTGTGTGGCTTTCTTGCAGCTGACATACTCATCCATTCAGCCTTTCATATGTGGAATTCAGACACGTGTACTCTGCTAACAGGAGGATGTTTCAAACTCTCAGATGGGAGCGGTGCCTGCCAGCCACTTCATTCAGTTCCAACAGCAGCATTTTTGGCTCTGCAATTGTTTTGGTTGTCAATTATTTGAATTTTTTGTTATTTTATAAAAAATAGAACATTAGAGACTTCTACTTAAACCTGAGTGTTTGAACACAACTTTTCATCTCTGTTTCCTCCTAAAACCCAACTAAAATAACACTGAAAAAAAAAGGTATAAACAAACAAAGAAAAAGAAAAAGGAACAGAAGATGACAACAGTTTAGAGATATCAATAAACTTTTGGAAGAGGGACAATGAAGCAATGAGTGGTTTCTGACTTAGCAGAAGAGAGAATTTACCAAAAGAGCATACTTATTCTACTGACAGAATTAAGGAATTCAAGACAACAGGTAGTTGTAAAGGCTTAAACGTGGGATGGAACGCTCAACTAGGATATTGGTTGAAAGTCTATATAAAGAGCAGTCAGACGCCCAGGTTTCCTCCTTCGGTCTAAGTAGCTGTGTGGCATCCCTCCCTGACCCCAACAGCAAGGAAGTCGTTGCTGCCCAGGGATAGAAGCAGAGCATCTCTGAACTTAGGGACACCTAGCACTGCTAAAGGTAGGGGGAAGGCACCAAATTGAAAACAGAGGGATTAACTGAAAGTCATCCGACTGAATGGTAGGCACCCCCATATTCTTTGCTTGAGTCCCAGAATGCTACCACCTAGACATATATCTTGGACCTACCCACCACTCTCAGAAGAAGTTGAGAAGATTCCCCTCTGGGGAAACTGACCATCCCAAGAAAAAAGACCTACGGATACTGACATTTGGGGGTCTCCCAATGAACAGTAGTTTCTTATGGTTAGCACATTAGTTAACAATTCTGCCTGTGCACATAGAACTTTCAATCAGATTTTCAGTGTCTCATTGTTAAATATGAATTGACTACCAGATATTCGAGGAAATCCTATAACTCTAAAGACAAAAAAACAAAATAAGCAAAAAAAAAGAGATCTTAGAAGAAAGAAAGACAATTCAGGGAGCATAAGTAAATTTCAAAATAAGTATAAATAACATGTTCAGACATATAAAAATATTTTGCATCTATTAAATATGAATATGATGTCATGGAAAAAGAATGTTTAGAAAATGAGAAATAAAATAATAAAACCCAAAATTAAAAGCCCAATGGAAGAGTTGGAAGACCAACTTGAGAAAATATTACAGAGTGTGGAAGAAAAGAGACAAACAAATAGAAAATAGAAGAAAAAAGACAAGAATTTAGATTAATCTGTGAGGTACAAAAAGATTCCAAAAAGATGAAGAAAGAATAAAGGAGAGGAATTATCAATAAAATAATAAAAGAAAACTTCCCATACAATAGGGGGAAAGAGAAGATTTGAAAAATTTTCAGGGAGAAAAAATAAGAAAGATTCGAAGGATCAGGAATTGTATTTCTCAAAAGCGATGCTGAAAGCTAGAAGGCTTTGCAACAATGCCTCAAAATTCTGAGAGAACATTATTTCCAACCTGGATTTTTATTCCCAGCTAAATATTTAATTAAGTTAGAGGGTAGAATTAAGACTGGTTATGGTCTCAAAAAATAAAATAAAAAGTATTTCTTGTGTACACTTCCTCTGGAAGCTACTGGTGAATTTGTTCCAAAAGAATGAGGAGATAAGCCAAGCAAGAGGAAAATGTGGGCTCGTGCAAGGAGAGGACACAGCACAGGAGCGGAGCGAGGGGCTTCTCGGGCTGCTGGAAAGGGAAGCCCCAGGATGGTGGGCTTCAAGAGCAAGCGGTGCGGGGCGGACGGATGGCGAGGACCCTGGAGGGAGAGATTCAAGAATAGGAAGAAACATAAAACTGATCAACTTACTGATGTTGACCATACTGAGAAGACTATTGTATTCCTCTTAGAAAGTTTGGGGATGAATTAGTAACAATTACCTGGAAAACTAAGCAAACATAAACCAAGATAGTACCTGGGAAAAAATGTAGTACCTGACAGTAAATAAACTCAAAGTTGACTCAGTGGTTCAACTGTGACATGTGTCTACCTAGCAATAAAATGTCAATTCTGATTTTTATGTTGGTTAGTATAATTCTGAACATTGATTTAATTAAAATAATAGTGACATAGCTCTACTGGTAGACAGAAAACGAGGAAAGATGTATATGGTGGCCGGGGACGGGGGAGAGTGGCAAGGAAATTCAATCCTCCTCTTCTATCATTTGAAGGAAATAATGTCTAAAATAAAAAAAATTGGGGGCCAGCCCATGGCGGAGCAGTTAAATTCCTGTGCTCCACTTCAAGGGCCCAGGTTTTCTCCAGTTTGGATCCTGGGAGCAGACATGGCACCACTCATCAGGCCATGCTGGGGTGGCATCCCACATGGCACAACCAGAAGGACCTACAACTAGAATATACAACTATGTACCGGGGCACTTTGGGGAGAAGAAGAAGAAGAAGAAAAAAAAGAAGATTGGCAACAGATGTTAGCTCAGGGCCAATCTTTACAGAAAATAAAATAGAAAAATTGGAAAAAATTAACAGTTTAAACATATTTAGAAATGTAGGAGTAAAAAAACCAGAAGACATAGCTAAAAGATTTTTATATGGTTGGCACTGGGAGCAAGCATTGGAATGGGGAGAGATGGGGCATATGGGTATATTTTTTAAATTCTAAAACTTATAGTACTATTGAGTATATATGTACACACGTTTTACTTTGACATACATAAAAAGTTTTTTAATGACTGGAGAACAGAGAAGGAAAGTGCTTTTATTAATGATAGAAGTCAAAGTTCTCATTAATTTAACAGACTTGAGACAAAGATGAAAATCATTGTGCTGAAGGGGTTAGTCTTTAGCCTAAAACAGATGTTCATTGAACTTAATGTAGTCAACATAAAAAAACCCCACAATTCAATGTGTTAAATTATGAAGGAAAAAACCCCATCAAAATAAAATGCTTAAAATAGATCATTAAAGATTCTGTCTAAAAGGCAGGGTGAAATTATGGTCTTTAGGAGATTTTTAATACTCTGAAAATGAAACTCTCATTATACACATAAATCCATTTATTCTCTCTTATATGTCTACTTTCCACGCAGATTTTTCAGAATACATTATGTGGGGGTGGGGTAAAAGCATATGTTAAAGTCTAAGTAGCTTGTTTAAAATAACCAGATCATCCTAATTTTCCTCTTCGATGAGAGACACTTCATTTTCTCTTTCCAAGTTCTCAAGGACACATTCCATCAAAGCCCTATTCTGGTGCATTTTTACTGTATAGAGGCCCTTGCAATTATTAGTTACTTTGGGTTTGTACAGCAGAAGACTCTCCTTTTGGTTAGGAGGGCATGTTGTATGCTTTCAGCCTGGAAGAAACTATCTTTCTCCAAACTTTCAGATTCTCCTTCACATCTGAGATCATGGCCAGGTAGTGGACTACTGGGCTATCGCCAACTCCAGATTATGTTCAGATCATTCCCTCTCTCTCTGCCCCAGCACCCTCACCATCAACACTGTGGATAGGCTATTCTTTTCTTTTTATAAATGTATGAGAGCGAATGTCCGATGTGTCAAGTGTCTTGTAAAAGAAAACATGCTCTGTGAATTTACAAACTATTGATTTCCAACAAACCAAGCTTTCCCTTCTGATTTGTCTTGGTCCCACCAGTAGGCAGGTTTCAGCTCAGTTGGAAGGCCGCTCGCTCATGGCATTCATTGTGTGCCATAGAAGTGGACTAAGCTTGTCTTGTGTTCAGGCTCTAAAAACACGCCAGTTAAGAGGTGCGGTGGGGAGAAAGGCAGCAGGGAGTGCACTTGCTGAGATGACGTGGGCCACCAGAAGATGCAAGGGGGAGGAGAAGGAAATGTGGCGAGTAATTCGGCTATTTTTTCCTGAGTTCCTTTTTAGCCAGAATTGCGCTCGCGCAGCTTTTTAGGAGCCTTTCACAGCGAGTCAGGGAGAGATTCATCGTCCTCCCTACGGTGTGAAGGAACACCTGCCGAAGCTGGGTCTCCTCTCCCTCTCTATCACATCAGGAGGTGAGAGCTGGCAGGCTTCTCAGGATCGGCCGAGATCTCCAAAAAGCTGCCAGAAGTGTTTGTCTGCATCTTGTGAACTTTGAGATGTCTTCACCCTGAGCGCAGAGATCCAGGTCGTTTCCCTAAGGGGTCCTCCCTCTCTCTCTCCGGGAGGGGAAGTCCTCAAGAACGGAGAAACGTCACATACAACTTGGCACTTGACACAATGCCCAACAAGCGTCTTGTGCTTGGTGGCCACCCAATGTACACGTGGTAAAGGAAGAACTGAAGATGCCAGGAGAGACGTCTTCTCCTTTGACTGTTTGAAAGCGATTATTGTTCAGGATATGCATTTCTTTTAAGAATACGAAAATAGTGATCATTCTTGTTCACAACCAACAAAAATAAAATCCAAGAAGTGATTTTTACAGTTTTTAAACAAGCAAAACTGTACCCAATAATAAATTTTCTTCCCAACTGAGGCTAGCTGGAGAATATTTTAAGCCAAAATTAAAATTCCAGAGACATTTCTGAAGGGCAATAAATATCATTAGGCCAATAGCTCTCTTTTAGGCTCTGGGTTCTGTTATCTCTATAGGATGATTCTACTTTCCTAAACAAGAAATCAAGACACATACAGGCTATTCCTCTGCTTGGAATGCCAGGGGCCACCCCCTGATGCACCCAGTGAACTCCTATTCATCCTTTAAAACCCAACCAAGGAGTCACCTCTTCTGGGATGTGTCCCCTGCTACTGTCCCACCTCCAGACTAAATAAAGTTCTATGCTCCCTTGGGGTTGAAATGTCTTTTGATTGTTACACATGAATCACCAAATTATAATTCATTGTTTACTTTGTAATATCCTTGAGAGTAGGATTATTTCATATTTACCTCTAGATCCCCTTGACCTAACTGGCATATCATAAAGTTGTCAGTAAATGTTTGTTGAATTAAATTGGATGGTAATAGAGAATGTTTTCTTACTTGTGAATTTAATTATATGAAGCCTTACAATGATATAAAATGACTTCATATTT